TTAACCGTTTGCACGAATCAGTACCAGGGACAAGCCCAAGTTGAATAAAAGCGTGTTCTATTTCTTTTAGAATTTTCAGAAGTGGAGGACTATCAAACAGCCTCTAAATTTCAAAAAAAAAAATAGCTTGCTCAATAAATATGGATAGTAATAAATTTTAAGTCCTCAAAAGCAGGATAAATTTAAAAATTACAGGGATAAATAAGATTTACCAGGAAAGAAATAAACGACAAGACCAGGAAAATCATGAGGCAAGTGTGAAATGCAAAAACTCTACAACCCAGTAAAGATAGGTGGGATATTTGTCTGGATCTCTGGTGAGAGGGAAACCAAGACTTATTCCTCGTCTCAGAAAAAGGCAGAAGAAATGTATAAGAAGAAAATACGAAGCTAAATGCTACTATTAAGCAGACTGTAATAATTTTAATATTTTAGTAAACATAGCAATAGCATGGATTTCTCTTTGTCTCATAAAGACAAAGGCAGGGCAGACACCGAGGAACAGGTCAGATTAACAGGAAAATTCATTGCGGAGTCCTGTTCAGTGAAGAAGCTAGAAACATATTTTCCCTATAGTAATTACTCTAATTCCTGAACACATCAAAGTTTCAACTCTGTGAAAATTAAGTTTTCCAAAATGTTTTTCACTTTAAGCTGGGGTGAAAAATCAGAAACTCAGAAATGTATCTGGAACTGAAATCTCCCAGTATTTTATTTTGGAAACTCTGGAATGAGGCACTCTGTGTAAGGTATCATTCATGGGATTTCTGGCCCACCTGCTTAGTAGGCTCAAGTGGAGTCGAGGATCCTACCGACAGCAACAGCAGTAGCTGCCAATATACCTTCAAGGTAATAGGGCTTGGGCCAGCGGTCCCAAGGAGAGTGAGGTCCCTAGGTTGCTGAGGCCACACTGGCAGCGGGAAGCTCTGGAAGCCCCAGCTCCCAACCTCTGAAACTCCCAAACTGTCAAAGGACTACAGACCAATGGTCAGGAATCCTGCCGGTATATGGGTATATGCTAGCCCCAATGTCTACCCAATGTCTAGCCCCAATGACTCAGAGTTTCAGCCATGCCATATGTGCGTGTGCGTGTGTGTCTGTAGGATTAAGTAGCCAGTGACATTTGCAGCAATGGCACTAATGAGAGAGTACTTGAATACCAGAACAAACTCATAGTATAAACAGCCACCACTCTTGCTGAAGTCATTGAGGAATCTGAGAATCTCACAAGTTCATTGAGATAAGCATTCAGACATTTATAGCGTAGATGTTTACATCTGTGCTAATCCCTCATGGCTCCTTCTATAGTCAGTGCAAAGAAACTATCATTCAACTGTTTTAGCATACTAGGCTGAAATAAATCACACCCTAAAAACGCCCACTTTCCTCCTCTGACTGATGATAAGGGGGACCTAGGTGGCCTATCTTGGACACAGACAACTACGTTTGGCCAGATGAATGTTACTTCAACGTCATTCAGCACATGATAGATTTGCAAGGTTCCAGGCTCCAGGAAGGGATGAAGATATACCAGTTAATGGGGAAAAAAAGGAAAAAGCAAAAAACAACAAAAAACAGGAATAGTGCCAAACAGATTGACATACATAGCAGAGAAAGTCCACTCGGGGTTACTCTGCATCAGTATTGCCTTGAGTTGCCTCAAACCAACTATGCCCAGAACTTCTTAACTAGTCCTCCACACTGCCCAGCATCCCAGTTCTGCTGTTCAATGAATAGCCAACCAGTATTTCCACATACTTAGTGTAAGTCAGGATGACTTCTCAGATCATCCTTCTGGACATGCAAAGTAGTTCTGCCACATCCAGATCCGCCCTGTGGCAGCACCGTGGCTCAGCCAATAAACCCTGTCAGGATCAAGGTGGCATCCAGGGTACATCTGCAGGCAAGGAAAACCACCCTCTCTTACTCCTGCCCCAGAGTGCGCATGGTCAAGTGTTTGCCATCACAGATGTGGGCAAAGAGAAGAGAATTAAAGGTTTTACATTGTTTTCTACCCTCTGAAAGGTGGGACAAAACTGGAAGTGACATTTCTGAAGGGCTGCTCAAGTCCCATTAACCTTTCCTCATGGGTCAAGGATGAGGAAGTTGACAGATGAACTTGACAGGTGAACATAAGATAGTAGAGGTAGTAACTAGAAGAAGATCTGAACATAAGATAGTAGAGGTAGTAACTAGAAGAAGATCTCTGTCCTCCTCCCCCAAACGATAATATTTCTTCCTATCTTCTTTCCCAGTTGAGACTGAAAAACGGACGCTACACGAGCAAGACTGGATCATCTCAACCCTCTGTCACATGTCACATAATCTAAAGCAGAGACAAAGAGCTTAGCTACAACATCATACTGGGATGAATCCCACCTGAAATCTGCCAGTAGTCTGGCACAGAAAAAAGAGAAAAGAAGAAGGAGATAGTACAGTTTCATCAAACTTAACAGCTCACAGCCTGTTCCTCTGATAACTGTTTAGATTAGAGAAAGAGTCGCCCTCCTCTACATGGGTTCCCTCTTTGTCTAAGCAACGTTTCTACTGTCTAGCAAATCCAGCTCTCTTTTCTTTCCTCCATGCGGATTCAAGAGCATGTCGCATACGCGTGATAACACATTTTAACCCAAATACAAGCACCAAAGCGCTTGAATTAGAAGCCTCGTTGGCCTCATTTTCTCTCATAACCCACCCAAAACAAGAAGTGCTTTCTGAACATGTCTTCTCTCTTTGCTGATGAATACAGCAAATCTATGAGCAACGAGGAGTAAAACTTCGCATATGCCAGTAACATAGCTTGAATCAGGGACTGAACATCCAGTATTCCTCCTGCTCGGGAAACAGGTTTATTCCAAGGCCAATTTGCCCACCTAAAGCACACAAATGGTGGAACATAGTCAAGGGTTTCCTCCTTCAAAACACTCAAAATGCACAGCACTAGGACATGTAAGTAAAATAACTTTCGAGTCGGTGGCAATCAACGAGTTTGCTCTTTCTTTGTGTCAGCGTCAGCATCTGCAGCTATGCAGCCTATGTAATTAAACAGTTCCTCCTCTTCTGCATTGTATGGAAAACTTGTTTAGCAGACATTTAGGCTAAGTGCTGAAAGCAATGGAAATCCACAGAGTATGTGACCAGAAAAATAAGATTCTGCCTATTATCCACAAGTCAGAGGCAAACACAATGAATACACTCATACAGCTGGGAAACTATGCGTGTATGCATGACTACCCATATGCCAGACATTACATTTTAAAATATGACTAAAACAAACTAAAACTAAACTAAAACAAAATACACCACTCTGTCACAAGGCTCAGACGCACTGCTGTCACCCTTTGCTTTACTGCTATTATGTGCCACGGCTTGCCTAAGGGAATTCAGCAGTGTCCACTCAAACCTCTCCCTCCATGGCAGAGGCAATGTGTCACTGTCAAGCATCACAGAGTACGTAACTCCGAAAGTCAGTGCTGTCCCTCTGCCAAGTTTCCCCCACAGCACATGTACGTGTGAACACATCTTCCCCGCTGGCCCCACAGCTCAGAGGTGCGGATGGGGCAGCGGCGTCCAGCGCTGGGTGAGACGTTAGACGTCATCATCACAAGGGTGTTGCTTGAGGCTGAAGCTAGTATTTGTGAATGACCCTGCAGGTGCTAAAACTAGCTGGCTAAGAGGGAGTTAACTCACAAGGCTGGCTCTCGCCCCCGTATCTGTAGCCTGCCAACTTTTTAGGGCTGCAACTGTCTTTTTGTCCTGAGTCCATACAGCACCTAGGACAACTACATTCTGCTCCAAAACTAAGGTTTCTAGAAGCCATGACGAGACATCTAACACAGCTGCGTTTCTGTACGTTGCCCCAATCTTTCTTTAGAGCCACATACAAAAACCCACATGAGGCTTTTTAAAGTGTTTCCCCCACCCCCACGGCAAACACACACACACACACACAGGTACATATGCAAAGAAAAAGAAACCCATCTGTCAGTCAAACCAGCTGCCAGCGATACAATGACACACAAAACGTTTTCCTAATCGTAGATGCGAAATAGCGGCAAGAACAGGTTAACGAAAGCCAGGCAGTGGACACTCGCCAGGTACAGCGCTCAGTGGGGTGCCGACAACCCCACCTGGATTTTCACTACATTCACAGCCTCTGTTACAGCTAAAAAAAAACAAAAAAACAAACGAACAAAAAAACATACACACCACGCTAGCCAGGCAGGAACGATCTCAGACGAGGAAAGAACATCTGGAAAACCTGCTCCAGGCTTTCCTTCTCCTTAAAACTCAGGCCTTCGCCTCTCTGCGTGTTTTTTACAGCGCTGCTCACACCGTGCGAAGTGGGGAGGGAGCGGGGGG